AAAGTAATATATTCTTTTTTTCTCTTATTCATCACAAATAACATATTTTTATAAAAAACAAAACATAATTTTATTAAAAAACAAATTTTTTTTAAGAACCCTAAAATCGAGCCAAAGAACACAAACTTTAGAGTCAAAATCAACCCCAAATCTTTCATTTTTTGAATAAATTTACATGGGGATATGATAGATACCCAAAATTTTATGAAGATTCATTCTCTATTGAGATCTTTATTCAAAAAATTGCGGATATTTCACTTCACGAAAATTTCAGGAAAAAAATGCAGCAAAATAAAAATCGATATAAAAACATTTAATCAATAGTAAATCAAAATAACTAGTTTATTTGATAGATGAGGCCTTTATGATCAAACTTCAGTGATCAATTCGATAAAAATCGATAAATTGATCGATCAGAAATCAATTTGTTTGGATAAAAGACAGTTCTTCGAGCAGCAGTACTTCGGTCCCAAAAAACCTCAAATCTTCACCGTTTTGGAAAAATAGAAATATGTAAATGTTGAACCTTCAACAATGAATCAAAGCCCTCCATTTTTATGAAAATCTATGAGGTATTGACGCTGCACTTGGTAGAATGGGGAAATTTTTAATTTTCAAAAATCCCCATTTCAATCCGCCAAGAACTCTTTGCTTTTCGACTATTGATTCAATAATCAATGATTTATAGAAACGTTCCGGTGTATAACATCAATAGTTGACCGAAAAAACAAAAAAAAACAGGAAAATAGAATAAACTAAAGCTGCAAAATCTTGTTATGTGAAAAATAACGGGCATGTATCAAATAACGGCCATTGTTTGATGCGTTGAAAACAGCGTTATATCGGGCATTAAAACCGGACCGATTAGGAAAAACCGTCCGGTTTACACTAAATATCGCCGGTTCGACCTCGAACCAACCGGTTTTGGTGCCAATTTTTTTTTGGACAGTGTCGTCTTATGAGGTGTACCGTAAAACCGGCCCTAACCGGACTCACCGCCCCACCAGTAGCGAACTAACAGGCAGGTTCCGGTTCTAACCGACCGGTTTTGGAAACACTAATCCTAACTATGCATTAGTTGATATTTTATTGGGACCTATCTCTCTAACTTTCGGAGAAACTTGTTTTTAGTGATTTACATATCGACTCTAAATTTTTTTAAAAAATACGAAATGTCTTCATTTACAAGTAGAAATTACAAAGAAAGTCGGTCAACCTGTATTTTTTTTATTTTATTCAAAATTACCCCTTGGTTTGAGGATATCTTGGGACCGAAGTTTAATTTTTCATTTTTTAGTTTTTTTTCGTTAGTAGGGCACTAACCTAAAGCTTGGGACATTGCCCTACTAATAGAACAACTACAAAAATTAAAATTCCGACCACAGATTTCATCCACAGACCAATAGATAATTTAGAAAAAAATAATAAAAAATGAGTTGACCAACCTTCTTAATAATTTATGCATATAGTTGATAGATGGGGCATTTCGTATTTAAAAAAAAAAATTGAAGTCCTTAATTAAATCACTCAACTTTTTTATGGGGATTGGGAACCTTTTTCTCTTTCTCTTTTACAACTTTTCATTTGGCCTCTCTCACTAAATGCCTTTTCCTAAGTATGCATGAGTTGATATTTTTTGAGACCGCTCTCTCTCTCTCTCTCTCTCTCTCTCATAGGAACAAAAGGGAGCGAGAAAGTAACCTCTTCAGCAATCTCTCCAGCTTTGACATAGGATTTCCTGACCCTAGCCATGAGACCTGTGGCAATATATGCATAGATTCCCCCAGCTATGGCAATCAAGGGCACTATTGACAGTGTAACCAGACTCAGCTGCCAGACGTGCATAAAACCAATAGCAAACCCTGCAATGAAACGGCTTATGTAGTGCATGAAATTCCCCACCTGCCATTTATTTTCGAACCCACAATTAATATCTAAAACAACAAATCTTCAATGCCGAAAGGCCTATCTTAGTCCCAATCTTAAAGGCATTAAATAAACGATTCAAAGTTGTTCTTTCTCTATAGATCAGTCTCGAAGTACTTGGCCAAGTCCACTTGGACTCAGCTGAGTTAATCGGACTTAGTACATGGCCAAATCGAGTATTTCGGGTGCATTAAAAAATAAATAAATAAATATAAATATATAAATTTGCAGCGTCAATGTAAAAAAAATTATACATGCAATTTAAATGTCTTTTAGACTTGTTTCATTGTCAAATACCTTTTTTCGTATTTTCCTCTTTTTTGGATTTCTCTAAAATATCATCAACAACAGATAAAATATTCTAAGTCCATGCTTTTTATACTATTGTTTTAGTTTTTAGTTCGAGTTCACTTTTCAAGTTTTTGTTTCAGTTTTTAGTTTATTTTTTAATTTTTTTAATTTTTTAAGGCCTTTTTGGACTCAGCCGAGTCCGAAGATAAAAGCATTGCTTTATATGATAATTTCTTACAGCACTCATTTCTAAAAGGCTAGCGCAAGTGATAGACATATCAACCTCATATATATATATATATATATATATATATATATATATATAAGAAA